TCTAGTAGTACAAGGTTGAGACGTGAAATTATTCACGGATCGCGCAAATTACCGTTCTTCGATATATGGGGGGAAAAAAAGAAATTCTTTGAAATCTTGGGAGTTAAAATTTTCGAACCTGATACAAGTTACTACGTGTTGTGTGTGTGAGCATGTGTGTGAGAGCTTTCTGTGTATGTGTGTGTGTGTGTGTGTGTGTGTGTGTGTGTGTGTGTGTGTGTGTGTGTTTGTGTGTGTGTGTGTAAACTCAAGGCAACGCGATGTACAGAAAAGCAAAACATAGGACATATAGGTGAATGGCACAGCTGACTTGGCTAAGACAAAAAAAGGAGAAACAGAATACATTATACTTGTAATAATTTGAAGACGGGCGTAATGTTTTCACCTTTCGTATACAACAAAATGAGATTATTCTTATAAATTCAAATACAAAGACCGCAAAGAAGACAAGATCTTTCAGCAGTATCACAGTTTCTGATAAAGCAGAAGGTAGATTTCAGTTAGTATAAAACATAGGCACAGACGAGAAAACAGGTGTACTTGCTATTCATGAAACATTAAAGTCGATATCAAACTAAGAAGGTAGAAGAGACAGAGACAGAGAAGAAGAGAGAGGGGGAGGAGAGAAAGAAAAAGGAAGGGGGAGGTAGGGGAGGGAAATAGACAGACAGACAGACAGACAGACAGACTGAAACACACACACACACACACACACACACACACACACACACACACACACACACACACACACATACACAGGTAGTCAGACAGACAGACGGACATACGGATAGACAGAGAGGTTGGGGGGGGGGGAGGGTCTCATCAACAGACATAGCAAAACTCCTCTCTTTAAGTTTATATTAATTTGTCTTTCTTCTGTTTTAAATCTCCCCTCAATTTGCAAAGGTTAAAAGACGAGCCCTTAATGAGAGCGTGGGAGTCATGTCGAAAGGGATTACCTAATGAGCTGACACTGACAGGATGTGACGTAATTGGCTGTATTTTTAGACCTGCTACATGAACCTTCTTTCATGATGTCAAATTAATCTCGTAACAGTGAGCTTTTGGCGTGTAGGATCATCAGAGACAAAATTTCCTCTAAAAAGGATCATGTGTTGTCGCTGAAAGTGTTACTTAACATGCTGCTGTTGTCATTTTAATTATTGATGCAAAATTATGTGAAGTTTCCAGTCCAAAAAAAGCCCAGTTAAGTCACATTTTTTTAATGAGGGTTTTTTTGCTGCCACAAAGCTTTGCCTTGTGCTATTGTTAGGTGAAAAAAATGTTATTATCCTCATTTTCTTTCGTATTTATTTATTCAGATGTGAATTATCCCTACTGGAGTCTAACTGTAGATATGTTGTTTTCCTAAAGATCAATTGCAGTTTTTCTACCGTGTCCTGATAGATACTGATTTCTTCTCAGATCTCCCATGTGGGTGTTTTTTTAGTAGAGGAGTTACGGCGCTCGCAACTGCATAAGGTCATATGAGCGCCGACTTTCTTATATATGCCCAAATAGATAATATTATCTCTCCAGCTACCTTTATCGTGGTACAGAAAAAGTCATATTATTGCGCCGTGTTCGTTATAAAATGACAATTTAGAGAACTCTGAATCTGCTAATTATTGACAACATTCTTCAAACACCTTACAAATTCCCTGTCAGTTGCATGTGATGTTAGTGTCTCTATGATAAAGCACGTGTAACTATTACGACTTGAGTGGAATATAATATAGACCAACGCTATGGAAGTCTCAAGGTTTGTTTTCTTTTTTCTTTTTTTTTTTTTCTTTTTTTTTTGGGGGGGGGGGTTTGGAGGGTGGCGTTGTCGTTAAGCCTATGCTAGTCTGATTATAAAAAAAGAAAACAAAAAAACAAAACAAAAAACCAAAAAAAACCAACAACAACAACAAATATATATATATGCATATATATATATATATATATATATTTATATATATATCGAGTGTTTGAAACAAGTCGCTCTCATTATACACCCCCTTCAAACTAAATATATTTTAACTTAGGCAATGATAACCCCCCCCCCCCCCCCCCAACCGTGAACTCTGTTTTTTTTAGGTTAACGTTTATGTTCAGAATAAAAGAGCGCTATTGGACAATGAAAGATTCAAGCCATTAGCATTAAAGCGTATCTTCTGAGCCAGTGATAATCATTTTCACACGAAATAATGGTCATTTCAAACATAATGATAATCATTTCACGCTCCCTTCATTCCACAAACAGAATAAAAAGTCAGGAAAGATAATAGAATAGGTTGTACTCATCACCTGCTAGTGTAGATTCTCAACAGTTTCTGAAGACGGCACGATTTCATCCGTAAATAAGAAAAAATAGGAACAAACCTACTTTTTTTTAAAAGAAGAGAAGACATGAGTTGCTATGGCCATTTTGGAGGGGGGGGGGAGGTGGGTTCTAAAGTTGGTTATCACACCTTTACATCCCCACAAATAGAATTAGAGTAGATCTAGGTGCAAATTATTACCATGTTTGTTTTGGGGTTGTTTTTTTCTTTTAAGAAGAAGACAAGAATTGCTTTTGTCGTTTACGGCTTTTTTTTTTTTTTTTTGCTTTTTTTCTATTTTGAAAATCATAATGTCGTGACTGGAAACAAGCATTACAGCAGCTGTTCTGAAAGTTGAAAGTCGTCAATGTAAATCCCATGCCCACTTGGTGACGTCAAGGAATTCTCGCGACACACAATGATGCATTTCCGGTTATCCCCGACATCTATGGCAGTTTTCCTCTCATGTCTAGACTGATCAGACCTGTGGAGTTACAGGGAACAGGGCGGGTAGAGGGGGAGAGAGAAATAGTCTGGTTGTTAGGCGTTCTTTCAAGTGGGCGTGAACAAGCAAGTGTCATAAAAGTATTATCAACGGTAACAGAAGCAACAACAAAACAACAGCAACAGCAACAATAATAATAATAGTAATAATAACAATAATAATAACAATAATAATAATAATAATAATAATAATAATAATAATAATAATAATAATAATAATAATAATAATAATAATAATAATAATAATAACAATAACAATAATAATAATAATAATAATAATAATAATAATAATAATAATAATAATAATAATAATAATAATAATAATAATAATAATAATAATGACAACAACAACAATAGCAGTAGTAGCAACAACAACAATAACAATAATAACAACAATTACAGGAACAGTGACGATAATAACCAACAGCTACAACAACAACAATAGCAGCAACAACAATAGCAACAACAACAGTAACAATAGCTAAACGAACAACAACCGCAACAGCAGCAACATCAACAGGAGAAACAACAAGAGCACCAACAGCAGCAACCATAACAACAGCAGAAGCAACTGCAGCAACGACAAAATGTATGCTACATGTAAGATGCCCAGATCCCCCTAAACCCCTACCCACCCTCCTCCACCCTTCCAGCTATCAAAACAAGATATATTCAAAGTGGGGGGGGGGGAGGGTGTTACTCACCCACCATTTCACAAGACAGGATTTTGTTATAATTCAACAATCACAGATTTTAGTGTACTCTATGGTATCGAATAGCAAGCCGCCTAACCACTTCACCACAGACGCTTGTAACTTTGATTGATACTTAAAAGACGTAATAGGGTTCTGAAAGTTTCGCAGCGACCTGCCTTATGATTTTCGTGGAAACGTCACCACCACAACAACATCATATATAGTTAATATTATGCGATTCCTTTGACGTGCCAATGCTCATTTTGGTCATATACGTGCCGAAGATGAGAGGTATCACAAAACAGTAGCAAACACAAAAAAGGAATGAAAGATAAGGACGATAGATGTTGAATAGGAAAGTAGGAGCAAAACACATCAGAGCACCCACCGACTACCTGCAAAATCTTAGTTGCATCATTTTCGAAGTCAAGTGAAAAAGTAAAAAAATAAATGTACATGTATATGCTTATTATCCAAGTGTGTACATGTGCATGTGCTCATTTGCGTGTGAGCGTTATTGTGCCTGAGCATGCATTCAGATCTCGTTGTGTGACTTTGCCCCGTAAAAATGTAGGAAAATACAATACTATGACCACGTAAAACGACACAAGACCATTGCGAAAGAGGTGCTCGAAGGAAGGACGTGGTCCAGGAGAGCCAGGGGCGAAGAAGAGTAACTTAATAATGATAATAATAATTGAATTTATATAGCGCACATCCACGCTCAAGAGCATGCTCTATGCGCTTTACAACTATTATTACCCCCAGCAGACCCTCTGAGAACACTCAGAAACATTCTCGGCTTCCGCAGAAGCATACAGTGCAAGCTGCAGATTTCACGCGCTCAAACACTATCAAACTGACAAGATCGTTCACTGTCCATAGCCGGGTACCCATTTCCACCTGGGTAAAGGGAGGAAAATTTGTGCAAAGTGCCTTTCCCAAGGACACAACGTCGGGCCCCTGACGGGATTCGAACCTACGACCTTACGGTTGCGAGTTCGAAAGCCTAACCACTAGGCCACCAACTTGGATGGACAAAATAAAAACATGGACTGGCCTCAAGGGCACGGTCGTGCACTGCCGCCCAAAAATGTTAACGCACAACACCCACAAAGTGACAATAAAAGAATCTTTACTATCCACCATCCAATCAGTTTTCCGTACAAGTTCCTCACCAGAACCTATTCGTTCATTACAACATCTGCAACAACTCGAAAACATCTACTATACCATATCAAGTTCTTGTGCTTCACCCAAGTAAAAAATGGTCTGTTCAGTGGTGTAATCTATCTCGGAAAATGCGCTATGGGACGACCCAAACAACGATGACGTTTTGACCGAGTTTCTTAGTTCATAAATATTAATAAGGTGGCACAATCTCAATGTGCCACAGCCGAACAAAGCCCATAGAGACAGTCTAAAAATAATGTGATCTCAGACCAGTTCACCATAGCCTACACAATTCAATGCCCGTATTATGATAGCTTTGGAGCAATCCACGGGAGTGCTCCCAGCGATGTGCGATTGGTCCATTCTATTGCCATTTATATCTCTAGCCCCACCTCTGTAACCGTGAACTTGAGCGAGGTCAACATGACGTAATTAAGTCATTGTGTTAGAAGTTGGAATGGTGTGGTGGTGAAAGTTTTATTACTCGAGTGTGTATTCCAATGCAGGATGAATGAAGTTGATTGCAAATAAATTCAGTCACCAAACAAGGTAACAAGAAGAGAGTGAATGAATTAAGTCCTCACCAACCCAAAAATATCAAAATAATACAATGAATAAAAAGTGGAGTGGCTAACAGACAGCGTTAGCAAATTATACTCATTGTAGACCTAGATTAGGCCTACGGTTTCTCCTGTCTGCTTTTTGGAACTGAGGACCCCAAGAAGTCTAAGACAAGTTTTACTGATCTTGTCCATGTAAAAAACAACGCATTAAAATCAAAAGTCACCAAGAGCGCACGTAAAAAATGCCGTTAAGTATCATACTTTCAGACAAGTAGACATAGTAGCTAGTCGTAGGTCATCGCATTGCAACGTCTCACTATAACGAACTGGTGAGAAAGAACAGGCACGCATTGTGTAATACGGGGTGCTCACTACGGATCGCCCGCCTCGATCGACTCAAAAACAAACGTGTTTGTTTTCAGTTTCAGACGATCGAGTCGGGCGATTGGCCCGATCCAGCCGTAGTGGGCACCCCGTATAAGGTTATCTAGTGTATTTTGTTCTGTGAAACTCACGAACTCGTCCTTCGCGGTCATGAAAAGGCTGATTTGTCGGGGAACAGAGGTATTAAAATTTTTCGCTAACGCTATGCAGACTCTTCGACATTGTTTGCCCACTCTACAAAATTTATCTGCGTTTGTCACTGGAATATTCCATGGCCGTCTGAAACAAGTAACAGTCTCGACTAATTAGCGCAGTCTTCATTTGGAAAGGAGAGATCGAGCTCTGTCTTGAAGAAATTCAGCATGTGCACTGAGACGATAATTCCATCCACGATGGTATCCTGAATGTATTAAAGAGTGAAACATTTTCCCTTCTTTTTGCACTTTTTCAACAAAGTGTACACGCGCGTTGGCGCTGTTTATGGGATCCTCTAACACAGAAGTACAACGCCCATAGAGCCTAACAAGTTATAGACTCGTTTAAAGTAGCTGTCGATGAAATTAGAAACAGTATGCGTGTTCCATCAACAAGAGAGACCACAGAGAAACACGCTTCCAAGAGACGCAGGCATTACAACACCAACGAAATTGCTGCAAAGCAGGCCTGTGACATAATAGTTACTCAAATTGTGACAGTTTCTTGAAGCAAAATAAAATCAACGCACTCTCAAAGTGCGATTCCTCCAAATTCCAGGACTATCAAAAGTTTCCAACAGTTCTTTTAGGATCGTTTACAGAAATATTACTGTTTTGCTTAAAATCAAATTACAAACAGAATTATAAGTATTACATTGCAATGAAATAGGTAAATCTGCTCAGTGTCGTATAATCCAGGGCCTTTATTCAACTCTGAAGGACTGCAAATTCGAGACAACATTTAGGGAAGTATGCAAAATACCAGAAATCGCACTGACGTTTATGTCGATCCACAAGGACAACAATGACAGCATGACCAACTTCGTCAACAGAATAATGGACGTTTTTGCTCCATCCAGGTAAAGAACGAAAGGAAAACTTCTTCTTCAATATATTTTCTCAAACCGGGTAGGATGAAGAAAAGATCTAATTTACATGCCCTTGACTATCTTCAACCTGCTTTAACCTAATTGTGCACGCCCACTTTTTAGACCCACGAGCGCCCCTGACTGGCCTGGATATAGCAGTATTATTTTTTGAGCAACGGCAGCTCGCTCGCGGCCGTGAAGGGTGGAGGGTCATTACTCGTCAACCTCTGCGTCAGAGATAACACTCCAGAATGATGATCCAGATGACCACAGCGTGAGGGTTCACGCATGCACATACGTGAAAGATATCATTCTAATTCAGAACATGCTATTGTGGGCGATATCTCCCACTAGCTGGAGGTCTGATCATTTTGGTGGGCGGTGGGGACAAGTATTAATTCAAGCCCAGCTCGAAAGTAGATATGTGAGGCATTGTGGTGAAATCAGACTTTCGCCAAAAATAATGAAATCAAAGAAATAGGCAATATTCAGCCCGTTTTGCAATTTTATCGAATTTGTGTGTGTGTGGGGGGGGGGGGGGGTTT